TTTTAGTTAATGGCTTTAAAAGAAGACTCCATAATAATACAACTCTTGTTTGGAGGGAGTCGGGCTTCTGTCCCGGAGCCAGGCTGTTGGCAGACTCAGAAACAAGCATGAGCTCCACTCTGAGACCATAACGGGGGAACGGGAAGATGGGAACAGCGTTGCTGGACTTGAACCCAGCAAACTATGACCTAAAAGACCATGCTTGGTTTCTTGAGGAAGACTTGTCTCGCTGAGGGACTCTCAAGACAACAAAATTCAAGCGATGTAAAATAAAAATCAATACATAAAGAGTGCCTCTGCTGGTTTATACAGTACAGGACAATGAAACCCTTCTAGTGAGCTCTTCAGCGGGGGCAAAGCCTAGGACTCACTCATTTTTTACTTCCCTGTGTCTAAGCACAGCCCTGGCATATGGCAGGTGTTCCATAAACACCCTGAATTCAGCTGAACTCAACTGAACTGAACTCAACTGAACTGTGTTGCTGCACATCCTGCCCCATCCCCTTTCATGGGAGTAACAGCTGCTCTCAACGTGGGCTCAAACACCACTCCCCCAGAAAGAAACTCCCGGACATCCCCAAGTCAGCGACACCCCGATGCACTTCCTAGCCTGGACTCCCCTTCCAAGCACCCCTCCCAGCTATAATTAAACACTTTACAAAGCTCTTTGGTACAAACAATACAAGCCACAAACAATAAATTCCAAGGAGAGAAGGACTGTCCATTTGTTTTCGTGTATGCAGCAAATATTATTTTTGTTGGCGCTTGGTAAATATTTGCTAAAGTAGTGAAGCAAGAACCCATAATTTCCAAGGTTTCCTCTCATTCTAATAATACTCACAGGCCTTAAGTAATATTAAATAAATTATTCTGCACATATTCACTTAGGAGTCTGTGCTGGGAAAGCAGTATTTTGTGAGGCAGGCCATCCAGAAAGAATTCTGATAAGGAACTAGAAAAACGCAAATATCATTCATTAGGGCCAAAAGTTAGTCTTTGTCCTGTGGCATATGATGGAAATGTTTGGGGGAAATGCTTGTTCTTTTATGGACATTTCAGTTGATTTATGTTTAAAAAAACCTAATCTATTCAGTTTAACCCAAAGAACTTTTTTTTATAGAAGATTAAATTTAACCTCTTAAATATCATCAGCTTCATTAGGTCCACTTAATAGTTCAGTCAGAAGTACACAGTTTTTCTATGACCCTGTTTGCTATCTTGGGAGTAACAAAAGAGAAACAGTATTTGGATCTCAAACACAATACCAAGGAATACTAGATCTGGTGAAAAATGAGGTTACTTTTTTGGTAAAAGAAAAAAAGAAAGAGCAGAAATTGAAATTGGTCACATTTAATCTAATACAGGAACATTTATAATTATTATTTATATTATAATAATTATTATTTCGGTCAACCACTTAATAAGCAAAATTTCAGGAGAATGAGTAAGGCCAAAAGGCACCTCCAAGAGAACTGCTGCTTTCATTCATTTGACTGCCTTTAGGAAGAAAAGCAGCAGTGGGAGCCGCCGCGCCTGCCCCTGAACGTACATCCTCTTCTCCCTCTGCATGTCCACGGTGAGCTCCAGCCTCAGGCGGGACCAGGAAGGAGACTCATCTTCCCCTAAAGACAATTACTTCTCCTTTCTTAGCCAGAATTCTTCAGGGACAGTGCCATATGCCAAGCCAGGTGTCAACAAACATTTTCAAGATGAAAGAAAGGAAGAATGAATCACCCACCGACTGATGGGAGAGGTAGTCATAATGATCACTGGGGCTGGGTCGCCGACGGCCGGCTTTCATCCACACTTGCCTACTCTCCAGAATCTCGTTCTCAGTTCTCTTTTCGGAATTTGTCAAATTTTGGCAAAAATATTACTTAAAAGAAAGAAATTCTTCCACTAAAATTAAAGGGGAAAAATTCTCAAGTCCCCAAATTCCCTTGAAAACTTAAATGCTTTGAATCAACACTGGAATTAGATTCATCTAAGTCTGTTTCCAATAGCATCAATGGTCTAGAAAGAAATGACTCAGGAAGTTAAGTATGAAATCTCTTTCCAGAGAATAATGAGTTCAGAAGTCAGTTTATGTTTATGTACCACACATCTTTCAGGCTCTACTCTGTTTTTCTATCCTTTTCTTGGCTTCATTGTGACCTTCCAGTTCCCTCGTCCTGTGCTATGACAAGTTCACTCCACTCTTCAAGATATCCAGATTCTAAATGTTAAATAACCTATTTCTCAGTCCTAGGATGCCTATGACTATTCCAGTTCTCTGCTGAAGTTCTCCAACTTATCTCCTCTGTCTGTTATTTTGTTTTCTTGAGCATGTTAATCACAGTTATTTTTAAGTCCTTATCTGAAAATTAAAATATCTAAATCATCTATGCATTTATTACATTTATTGACCTGGGATTCCAGTAATACCTTCCTGTTTTATAGCATGCCTTGCAATTCTGCATTGAAAGCTGAAATTTTTCCATGAAATACTGATATGAAAGGTATCTTCCTTCAAGATGCTTAAATTTTCTCTGGCAGTTGGAAAACAAATAGTGGTGTGTAACCTTGATCTTTTCTAGGTCCGACTTAAGGTCCATGAGGCTTGTCTACTTTAGTTTTCCCAGGTCCACCCCTCTTCCTTGGAGTTCCCAGACACGGTCTGTTCTGAAAGCCTGGAGTTCCTCACCAGCGCCCCTTTACCCTGAATTCCTACATCTTCCCTCGGCACCATGTAGCTGCCCAAACAACCTCAGATCAGCTCATTGACCGGCCAGATGTTTTTGTGCTGGGTTTCTTGGAGCTCCAGCCCTACACAATCTACTTATGTACAGAACCTCTTGCTAATAAAAACAGACAAGAGAAAAAAAAATCCAGGTAGGTAAGAGTTTTGAGTTACTGATGCTTTGTGAAGAAGAAATAGAGTACAATCAAAAGATGAGAGGTAGCAAAGAATATTGTTCAGTGACTGGCTCTCCCATCATCCATATGGGCTGTGCCCTGAGAAAGGTGCCCACCGCCTAGGGAGCCTTCTCCCTCGCCCCGCAAGGGAAGATGTGCGCCCACCCCTCTGTAGAGCTCAGGGGCTCAGAGACGGTTCTTCTCAAGTCTTATGCAAAACTGCATTTGTGCAGTAGGTACTGTGGTAGAAATCTGGAAGGCATAAGACCACATAATGCCAAAGGGTTTTCCAACTCTACACGTTTCTGCTTCTATGCATGTGTTTAACTAGATGAGACAAAAAGGCCACCAGTTCTTATGTGGACCAAAAATGAAATGACTTGCACGGAATTTCATCTTCAGCGGATTTTCTAACACAAATTCCCAAGACCTTCATCATTTGTTAACTCACATACTTAGTGAATACTTAATCCATGTCTGAAATTCATTTACCCAGGATTCTAACAATGCTTATTTCCTAAGAATTGATGACATATCTGACAAATACTTGACAAATACTTTTAGCATGAAGCCTGTTTCACAACAAAATAATATAATTTAGTAACTGAGCTGCTAATTAATCTGGTTTATGAAGGTTTGGCTAATCAAAAATATTATTCTGCAATTTATGATTTAATGGGCCTTACCATGAGCTAATAATCCTTATAAAAGAGATCACCAGAATACTGAGATGCCTTTCTTCAGAAAGTGAATTCCTACTTGATTCCTGATTCTTTAGCATTTTAATTTGCAAGAGTAAATCTTGAATTCCTTAATAATATTAACTATTAAAGTAAGTACATTATCTAACATTTTGGAGGTGACTATGCACATCAATGCTATTCTCAATGTTTTCCATAAAGTACATGTCATTAAATTGCCAGAATAATCCCAAATTCACCATACTCCACAGAGACAAATGAGACACAAGTGCTCACAGCAGCCAGGGGCAGAACCAGCCTCACCTGGGGTCAGATTCCAGACCTGGGCCCCGGTCTGGAACTCACTGTTCCAAAGGTCTCATTCAACACCATGAGAGACAGCTCCTATCTTGGGAATGCGTAACAGAGGTGTTGTAAAATACTAGAACAGACAACCCTAAGCTAGAATTCAACTTACTTTTTTCCAATTATTTTACTAAGAGTATATTTCACCAGATACGTAAGATGGGATGATGAAATTAGAAAGGAAAACAAATAATAAAAAAAACAAAAAGTGAGGAGAGGACAGGAGAAGAAAAGAAAAGAGCATAGGAAAGCAATAGACAGAGTTTGAGTCGGAGAAATGCACTTAGAACCAGTTCTGCCACAAACTAGCAAAGTGGCTTTAAAACCACTCTAATTTTATCTCTACAAAAATCCGTAAGAGTTTTAGGGAGTATGGCAATTGTATTATTAATCACCAAATACTGGTGCGTTATTATTATTCAATGAATAACTTGCAAATAAGAATGATGCTTTAATTTCTATTATACTGTCCTAGACTGAGATAAGTATAACCTAGACTAAAGGGGAAAAAAACCATTACAAGACAGTGTGGAAATTGTTTCTTTCTTTCGTGGAACAGTTCCTCTAACTAAGAGAAGAACTGTCAAGGGTTTCCTGTATGACCTTTCTCCTCCATTACTCGGCAGCTTTCTGAAGGTGAACCACAACAGATAAACACTGGAAGCCAAACTTAGAAGATACGATAATCTAAAACACCTTTTAAAGTGTACTCATTTTACAGGACAAATGCCCTTCCTTTAATTTCAAAAAAGAAAAAAGAAATTTAAAAGTTCTTTTTTTGTTGTTTTGTTTTGTTTTTTGAGACAGGGTCTCACTGTGTAGTTGAGACTGACCTGGAACTATGTAGCCCAGGCTGGTTTGAACTCACAACGATCCTCCTGCCTCAGCCTCCTGAGTGCTGGGATTACAAGCGTGCTCCACCACGCCTGGAAAAAGCTTTTATATTTTGCTGCACTCATGTCCAGTACAAATCTACTTTACAAATGGAAATACTGAATGGTAGAATTTGGTCAGTATGTGATCGGACGTTAGAATTTTTTCAGTTTCTCTCATGCCTTACCTTTGTTCAGAGCAGAAAGTCAAGTTCAGGCAGTCCCTTCCTCATTCTTCTGACCTGAAACCAAAGGACATGACATTGACTTTCATAGCGAGATAAAAAGAAGCCTCTTATTCCCAAACGAGCTGGTTGTATGTTCAGAATGGAAGTTATGTTAGGCTATGTGGACATACCCATGTAACATTACCTGCTCACATATGTAGAATTTTACCATATTTTGGTCAACTCAGTCTTAATAAATCAACCCAGTAAAATGTGTGTTTTAAATACTTCTAATTTCCTTTTAAGTGGAGGAAAGGTAGAAGTTTGACCTCATTTTTCAACTGATTTTTAATTTTTCTTTAAACATAAGCTTTGAAAATAGTCCACAAATCAAATGATTACAAAATTAAAAGAAAAAGAGACACCTATGTCAACAAATTTTCAGTTTGATTTACTTTCAATTTAATGACTTAAATCTCTCTCTCTCTCTCTTTTTTTTTTTTTTGGTACCGGGGATCGAACTCGGGTCCTTGTGCTTGCGAGGCACGCCACCAAACCACTGAGCTAAATCCTCGGCCCCTCTCCTTTTTTTTTTTTTTTTTTTTTTTTTTTGTGACCAGGTCTCACTATGTCCTTCAGGCTGGCCCTGACCTCACTATTATAGGCTGGTCTGGAACTCACAATGCTCTTCCTGCCTCTGCCTCCTGAGTGCTGGGATTACAGGTGTGCACCACCACACCGGGCCCCTAAGTCTTTTTTTAATACACCCACAAAGCACTGACTCTGCATTGTCTCACCCACTCATCCTACCGTTCCATTCCTGTTTTCTGGTAATAATCACTGGCCTTTGTAATACTCAGTTATCAGATTATCCTATAAGGCTCTCAGTGAAAGTGACTTTACTACCCCCACCCATACAAAGCCATCACACAAAGGAGAAGCCATTTATCTAAATAATTCTATAGAATTTAGGAACAACATGTCTCAGAGTTGATGGGCAACTTCGGCTAGTGTCATTTGGGCTACAAGGGACCAGACATGACAAAGGAGGCTTCTTGAGCCTGCAAGTCCTACTTTAAGGCCCAGGTGTTTTTCAACTTTTCCACGTAAATCTCTAGGAGTTGTAAGGAGGAGGAAATAGCTCCATATGGTAGAGAAAAGGAGCGCATTATCTCTGCAAGCTAAATTCACTTCACATCAATTCCTACATGGTAATGTGCAAAGCCTGGGCTAGGAACATGAAGAAAATAAAGACAGGCATCAGGTAGAACTAAGGACTCTCTAGGGAAAATAATACACTCCATAAAAATCTCCTTGTGAGACAAGAGGTCACTTGTGCTCAGTAAGACTACCTAGCTTCCTCTTTTATTTTCTATTTAATTTTTCTTCCAAAAAGCAGGAGGACCAGAAGGCCTGGATGCTCCCACCCCATCCAAGACAGGTGGGTTGTCTCCAGCTTCCACAGGCATAAAGGGACTCTTCACACGGTGATGACTTTGGCTTATGTGGAAGTTCTACCTACTCTCAAAAGTTCTGAAGGGAACCAAAAGCTCACAATCAATTAAACAAGTAGTGGGGCATTTCACAGCATTTGTTATGTACAACAGCACTAAGACTTGGAGAAATATTTTGAAATTTAACAGTCCTCATTTTTAACCTAAAGATAATAGCAACTGCCTATTTTGTTCTGGAAGTATTAAAAAAGGTTTTTCCCCCCAATGTTATTAAAGTTTTTAAACACAGTAAGTCCCCGACTTATGAGCATTCGAGGTGCAAACTTTAAAGATAAGAATTGACTTCGCGTAGTGAACATTGGTAGAGGGGAACAAAGTGCCGAAATAGCTCATGAGTCGGCCAGACGTTGTCACAGCTGTACTGCTGGGTGCTGGCTGTACAGGGTGATTAGTGCACAGTAGCACAGTGCTCACTCAGAGTCCAGGAGGTCCGGAAGCCAGAGGAAAAGCAGTGGTGATGTGCAGGGGGCTGCTCAGAAGCACAAAGCAATTACCATAGAAACAAATGTGAAAATCCTCTTAAGACTCACTTTCTCCCACTTTATTGTTAAGAACAAATCCAATTTACCAATGTTCTCCCAGAACGCAACTCATCTGTAAGTTGGAGACTTAAAGCAGACAATTTCTTACTAACTTAAACTGTGAGCAAACGTCATGCCTTCATTAACATTACTTTTAATCAGGGCTTTTAAATATAGGTGTCTCTAGTAGATTAATGCAAAAATAATGAGGTGGTAGCATTTGGGCTGGTTTCAAGGTAAGTACTATATATATTATTTAACTGCCATACTTTCTTCCCAGTAAGCTTAACCAGAAGATATTTGTCTTTTTTTAGTATACAACCAGATAAAAATGTATGCTGTGCTAAAGGATATTTACTAAACAAATTAAAACAGCCCCAAAACTCTCAGGTTAGTTTTTCACTGTCATATGTCCATGAAATTCTAGGTTACTATAGTGATTTTAAGTCTGTGCTGTTAACATGATGCCTTATTTCCTTTTAAGAATTGTGTACTCTTTCATGTGTTCATTTATCTAAGAATAAGCTGGTATTTAAAGGCTCCTGAAAGCAACAACGCTAGCTCCTTCTTGCCATGCCACATTAGTGGGCAAATGCTGACAGGCCATTATCTTCTCTTTATAAATGAATGGTGTCGGGAAAGCCTATGAAATTTGGGGAGTTACAGAGGTCTGGAGAGAATCCTGACTTCACCACATCCTGGCTTTGTTACATGGATCTGATGCTTGACAAATACCACTGAAACTCCCATCCCTCCTATCTGTAAAAAAAGAAGTAAATGCAGAAAACACACAGACTTTGGTAAAGATTTCGCCTAATCTAGTTAATCACTGTAGCAGGTCATCAAGGAATGCTGCTGCTCCAGGCGGAATATCCCTCATCCAAATGCTTGGGACACGAAGTATATTTTTTTTTTTCTTCTCAGACTTTGGAATATTTGCCCATGCATAATAAGATACTGGGGATAAGACCCAAATTTTGTTTGTTCTTTGTGTACCTTATAAATACAGCCTAAAGGCAAGTTTAGATCATGATTTTAAATAGTTTTTGTGAGTGAAAAATAGTTTCTTGGTGTGAATTTTCCACTTTAGTGTCGTGTCAGTACTTAGAAAGTTTCAGATTCTGAAGTATTTTGGATTTTGGTTTTTCAGATTAGAGAGCTTAATCTGTATTATTATTCATACACATGAGGGTGAAGCTTGTCAACTGTGGGGAAACCTATACTCTGGCTGCTCGTCTCTTCTTCCATCGCAGAGGGATGACTAAGGAGAAACTGAGAGTTCAACAAGGAGCCACACACCAAGCTTCCCACAGCTGCTTCCTGTACTTTAGGGGCTGCTGAGAAAGCAGAATGTTATAATGGGAAGACTTATGTTCAGAAGGCACAACCGCTACAAGTTACCAGGGAAACCCACCTGCCTGTGTACATCTGAAATGAGCAGTTTCATTTGTCTGATTAACCAGAATTGAGACCATGTAACCTCTAAGCTCCCTGCTGCCCTGCTGTTTCGGCAGCCGGAGCATGCTTCCAACGCTGTCAATCAAGTTACAGTAAAATGTTCAAGGCACTGCAAAAGTTTACCCCAATAAAAATGTATGTGTCCACAATAGGAGAGTCCGTGAATGACAACAGACATTCCAGCTTCGTTTTAAATTGTACTTTTGTGATTTATAATTTTGGCTTCTTTTTAACTCATCTTTTGACTCTAATCTTGGAATTGTAGAGGGCTCTTTTCCATTTTCTGATGCAGTATTTAAACGCCAAACTGCCAGTTCAGTCACATGTCTGACAACACCATCACTTACCCAGGACACACTCATAAGGCGACGTCTCTAAATGGGGCACCGGGCTTGCACTTGGTACAAGGATGACAGGCTCCATTCTGCTCTTGCAGCCTTCTGTCTGGGGAGCCATAAAAACAAACCACTGTGAGGGAAAGGATGACCGCCGAACCAGTGTGGAGAGCCACAGATGGAAAGGCTGAGAGTGAAAGAATGGGTAAGAGTTGGGCAACCTGCACAAAAGCAGACAGGAAATTCTTGCTAGAATCACCATTAAACCAACTGTCTTCACATCAGTACAGGGTCGGGTGAGTGTTCCTTCTACTGAGTTAACAAAGGAAAGAAGTTCTGAGTCAGCCTGACCAAGTACTGGCTTTAGTCATGTTGCTCCTCACCCATGTGCATATTTTCAATACTTTACAGCTATAAGATGTACGCTGTGTACAAAGCATCATAGTAGAAATTCAGAGAGTCATAAAAAGAATAAAAAATATAATCTCTGTCCCTAAGAAAGGTACGTTATCAGTGTGTCTATTGTGCTTTGTACTTTTTTCATATACCTGGCACTCTGTAGGTTGAAACAAGAAAAAAATAATAAACAAATATTTATTAAAGTAAAAAGAGAAGTAGAAGCATAAAAAATTTGAACATTTCTCGTTCTTAGTTTTGAGGATCTCTTAATTCTACCCCATAAACCAGTAAATGACATCTCAACAGTTGCTAAACCCTGGAAACTATTATAAAGCAATATATACATACATATCCCCAACACGAAAGGACTAAAAAGGAAAGCCACTAGAGTGAAAAGAAAGAAACCGGGATTAGGACTTGGACCCCTACACTATAGCCTTTTCTCTCATCTTCCCAACTCATCCCCATGCTGCCTCAAGTCGAAGCATCCGTTTCCTCTCCACCACAGCCGCCACGGTATTCCAAAGTCGAGACTGTCCATGGCCATTCCCAGGGTCTGGACTGCGCATGCTGTTCCCTCTTCCTGATCCTTTAACCCAGCCTGTATCCATAAACAAAGCCAGGCCACGATTTTCCATTGTTCATGTCTCCCACTTCATTCATGGGACACGTGGGGCTCTCTCCCTCCGTGGCCCCTCACAGGCTCCCCACAATTCACTGGCCATGGGCAGGAGCTCTCTAATGATCTGTGCCTTAAAGCTCCACAGAAGTTCCAATTTGAGGGCCATGACACATTCTACTGCATTCATCCTTAGAATTGTCATTGGTTTGCTTTTAATCCGTGTAGATTTTCTTTTTTGCAAATAGATGACAACCTCTTCAGAAGCAAGAAGCAGTTGCCCTTTAACATCTCACCAGGTTTAACACAATGTCAGAAATACAACAAATGCTCAAAATTATTTATTTCACTGAGATATAAACAACAGGAAATGATTTACTGACTTTTAATTCAAGGTATTTGAATAGATTTATTAATTAGAAAGAATTTCACACTAAAATATTCTTATGCCTAAAGTTATGCAACTTGGATGACTGCATTAATTTTTAAAATTCCATTGGTCAATTAGTGACTTTTCCTAAACACCTACTAGTGCTACTATCCAATTTTCTACAGAATCATTTACTTAGTAAATTATCGCCTGTGCAAAATAAACACTGTTCTCTAGAATTCCGAAAAGCTAACCTCACCAGATATACATACATGAACCTGAGAAACTGTATTTATGTAATCAATAAATGCAAAATACCTACCTATAGACTGTCACAGATATGCTATAATATACATCATCACAGTTCCTGAGACATTTGTAAATATGTAATTTTAGCTAAATATGGACCATTTTTAGAATATTTTAAAGTTCAAGTTAGTTCCCAAATTTTATATAAGGAATTCATTCAATGGTGGATTTGTTTATACTCAATGCTGTGTGAGAGGTTATTCACAAATCCTCAGAAATCAACTTCCAAGAAATAACTTAAATGGCCTAGAAACTTACAAAAGACAGCAATTTTCCAGTAAGCATCCCTATGGTCTTTGATATCTCCAAACGAAAGGAATTTCTAGACCTGTTCCCTTCCAGAACTTTAGAGCTTTCAGAAAGCCCCCCAAAATGCCAAATAAATGTTATTTTCTATATTTTCTATTGCTTTAAAAAAAAAAACTAGGATGTATCGCTGTATCCTAAAACTATGATTCAATTAGAAAATGCTCTAAGTCATTTCATCAGAAAGCTTAGCGCAAAAGTAAAACAATCTCTCTCACATCAGGAAGTCTAGATCAGACAGGATAATTTGTAGTGTAATGCACAGTGCCATTTTTTTAAGATAAGAAGATACCAGAGAATGGAAGAAGGAAGAAAGGAGAGCCTCGGTGTGACAAAGAAGCCGGCTGTGGTGGTGCACACCTGTAATCCTAGTGCTTGGGAGGCTGAGGTAGGAGGATGGCTGACAATTCAAAGCCAGCCTAGGCTACAGAGATTTCTTTTAAACATGTACACATGCTTGCAGCATCTTCTTTTGGAATTGATCCTTTCATCAGTATGAAATTTCCCTCCTCACCAAGCGTGGTGATGCACATCCATCCTCTTAGCACTCAGGAGGCTGAAGCAGGAGGATCCTTGTGAGTTTGAAGCCAGCCTGGGCGACATAGTGAGTTCAAGGTCAGCCTGAACTACAGAGTGAGACAACCTGCCAAGAAAGAAAGGGCGGGGGGAGAGGGAGAGGAGAGGGAGAGGACATGTGTGCATGCAGTGTATGAGGACATGTGCGTCCATGCACGCTACACACGGGTATAGAGATAGACCTTGTTTCCCATCTGTGGGTTCACTGAGATGGTAAAATAACTGGGAGGTGAAGACAGATAAATAGATAAGACTTTTTTTTTTCATTGCTGCAAGTTGAACCCAGGCTGTTATGTGCCAGCAAGCACTCAAAGCCTCTACACACCCTCTATACTGATCACACACCCCAGCCACTAGGATTTTTTCAAATGGTTTAAAATACCAAAGTTATCACATACAATAGCAATTCAAGTTGTTTCTTTTTTTTTTTTTGTTACTTCGCATGTGATCATGTAAGGGTAGAGGTGTGATCAACGTATAGAGTGAATTTTTTTTAAATTATCACCATAAAAGATGCGCCATTCATGGCCTTCAAACTACTACCCCTCATGACCTGGGGATGTAGCTCGGTGGTGCTGCACCTCCCTGGCAAGCACAAGGTCCTGAGTTCAGTTCCAGGTACCAAAAAACAAAAAGTCCCCCTCATTTTGAACATACTTATCCCATCATTTTTGCTACTTTCTGAAGCAATTTCTGAATTCCTCTTCCAAGAGCATCATAAACATTTGCTCTAGGAGCAATCATAAAATATGGTAAAAATGTTTAAATTTTGAAATTTACTACAGTAAAAGACATCGTCATTAATCCCTCTCAAAACAATCAAAATTGCTCCCTCACTTCAAATGCACTTGTCTCATTATTGTTGACGTGACTTTTACTGTAGTAAGGATTGTTTTTTTGTTTTGTTTTTGTTTTTGTTTTTGGTACCAGAGATCGAACTCAGAACCGTGCACTTACAAGATAGGCCCCCAAAACGAGCTAAATCCCCAGTAAGGGTTTTTTTTTTTTTAATTTAAACATTCACTGAATCTTTTACCACCCCTTTTAAAAGTGCCTGACCAATAAAACAAGCTTCCAAATGCAATCAAAAATGTACTTGATGTAAATAAACAGTAATGTGGGCAGATTACAAAGGGATGCACCAGTGTGATAAAACTGTAAGTTATTTAAATAAACAAAGTAGGAGGCAGAACAAGAAGAAGGGCAGGGTGGTGAGTAGTTATGGATATGAATGGAGGATATAAGAGCCACAGGGCGTTCTCTTAGAGGCAGTGGGAACCGTGCAAAGGTTTTAAGCAGCTCCATAAGTACTTGGCACTGATCGGTTCTTCAGGCAGCAGTAGAAAAAATGAACTGGAGAAGGCAATATTGTTGGCAAAAAAAACCGTGCTAACAGGAAGACTAGCACAGAAGGCAGGCAAAGACGTTGGGGAAATGATACGTTGCTAAGATATGACGAGAAGCAGAGCCCAGGGAGGTTTATGACTGAGTAGGTAGAGGAAGTGAAAAAGAAAAATAGTGAACAGGCTTCAGTGTGGAACGACTGGAAAACTGGTGGTTCCAATCACTAAGACTGGGAACACATATGAGGGGGATATGAGGTGTGATTGAAAGCTAGTGTTTGCATTTTAAAATTTACTACAGTAAAAGACACATTGCCGTTAATGCTCTTCAAAACACTCGTTCACTTTGAACACACTCATCCCATCCTCCCGGCCACTTTCTGAAGCAGTTCTGCAAGCCCTCTTTCACCGGTATCTTTTGTTGTGCTGTCTTGGCTGCCTCAACGTCCTGAATTAATTCAAAATCATTTTTTACCTTAGGGGAGAGCCCGAAGTCACACAGTGCCAGATTCAGTAAATAAGGTGGATAAGGACACACTGTTTTTGTTTTTATGAGCCTGCCTGTCCATCGGATAGTACTTGGAAGGTACTTTATCGTCCTCCGTAGACACTCATGAAAGAGGACTTTTAGAACTGCTTCAGAAAGGGGAAAACACAGTGGGGTAAGTGTGTTTGAAATAAGGGGGGCAGTATGAGGAGGACAAATGGCAACGTGTCTTTTACTGTAAAAATTCTTAATTTAAATATTCACTGCATATTTTGATCACATATTCTTAGAGGGCCCGGGATTTAGCTCAGTGGTGATGGCACCTGCTTTGCAGGCACAGGAATCTGAGTTTCATCCCTAGTACAAAAAAAAAAAAAAAATGTCCTAAACACATAAGGGGACACGGGAATAAGCATAAAAGAAACAGGCATTGAAGTGGGGGATGAGTTTAATTTTGAATATGCTCCATTTAGGACCTGTGCAGGACATTCATATTAATGTTTACTCAACAGCAGGAATGAACCCAGAACAGTTTCTGGTCATGATCCAGAGAGCAGAGAACCACCAACAATGGTGCAGCTAAAGAACAGGACCCGAGAAAGATTCCCGTCACCCACATCAAAGAGAGAGATAGAGAAATGAGTCTGCAAGGGAGACCATTCGCGATGGTCAAAGAGATAGAGAACATGAC